CCTGTGAGTTCAAGGCCAGCCTAGGGTACATAGTGAGACCTTGACTGAGAAAAACAAACTAAAACACAGCAGAAAACCAAAAAATATATTTAAAAAACTCCAGAGGTTACTGAGCAGTTAGGATTAGCTTGTAGTACTGGGGATCGAACTCACGACCTTGCCCTTGCCAGGCAGGCTCTTATGCCACTGAGCTATACCCCAACCCCAGGATTAGCTTGTATTGCAACTTTTTTTTTTTTGGTGTGGGGAATTGAACTCAAGACCTTGTGCTTGCCAGACAGGCACTTGTGCTGCGGAGCTATATCCATGACAACTTTTTTTAAAAAAAGATCACTGTGTAGCCCCGGCTGGCAAGTAAGTGCTGGGGATTATAGGCAAGGGCCATCATACCAGGTGGGTTATGTTTATGACACTTTTTGTTGCATGTCTATTTTTACAGCAAACTTACTTAAAAATGCATTCACGTATGTATCTATGAGTAACATTCAGTATTGCTTTGTATATCTTAATATAACCAGTTTGAGTATGTATTTGGCAACCAACTTTTGTTTCTTGGGTACTTAGTTTTAAACTGAGGGAAAGCTGAGCTGCGCCTCCTGCCCTTTTTGCTTTATTTTGAGGAACAGTCTAAGTTGTGCAGGCTGGCTTTGAACTTGCCCGCCTCTTCCCTCCGCCTCCCCAACATGGGATTTTGGGCTTGTGCCATCCAGTCTTTTTGTTTTAACATTGTTTTTTATTTTAACATTGTTTTTGAGCCTCTAGTCTATAACTTCCTGACAGCTATAAACAGGGTGACAATACAGTGTCTTGGTTTGCAAGGAGCAGTCCTATTTTACTCCAGTTAATCTGGTATAATTACGAATATAGCCAGTTTTAAATTTTATAGTAGTGTGTGTTACTAGTTTAGGTAAGGAGGTTTCCATGAGGAATAAGCCAGAGTTTATCCTATATCTTCCATTTGATGGACATACAGGTTGTTACCAGTCTTACATAAGGAGGCCATCAGTTCTGTTTGTCGTCTTTTTTTTGAGACAGGGTCTCATTGTGTAGTTCAGGCTGGTCTTGAACTCAGCTTTGTAGCCTAGGCTGGCGTTGAACTTGCCACGATCCTTCTGCCTCAGCCTCCCAAGTGTCAGGATTATAGAAGTGCGCCACCGTGCCCTGCTATATTATTTTGTTTGTATTTTTGAGACAAGGTCTCGCTGTGGCGTCTTGCTGGCCTTGAACTTACTAGGTACCCCAGGCTGGCCTTGAACATGAGGCGGTCTTCCTGTGAACTCAGCCTCCTGAGAGCTGGGATTATGGATGTGTGCTGCTACTCCTAGCCTTCTGTTTTTGTCTTATGCAAGTGGATGTTTCTTGTACGTATGGGCCTCGAGTTGCTAGATTTGTCAGCATTAAATCACAAATATAACCAGCTGTGGTATCCCAACATTTGCTGGGCTCAGAAAAACACCAGATAAAAATTCACAATGCCAACTGCAGTTTTTGTTCTCCACTGTGGTGGTACCAGTTGAGGCTCGGTCTTTAGCAGTCCTGCTTGGCATTCTTTTTCTGTCTGCTTACCAGTGTTTGGTATTGACTCTGGGCTTTAATAAACGAGGTAGCGGGCATGGTGGCACACCCCTGTAGTCCCAGCACTTAGGCTGAGGCAGGAGGATCACTGTGAGTTGAAGGCTGGTCTAAATTGTACATGGTGGTAAAATAAAGAAAAATAATCTGAGCTTCCATTGGGAAGTGGCTTACTAGTTTTTTGAGACAGGGTCTTCGTTGTGTAGTTCAGGCTGGCCTTGAACTCACTGTGTAGCTAGGCTGGCCTCACTCTTGGCAATCCTCTGCCTCAGCCTCCTGAGTGCTGAGATTATGTATGTGCCTTCACCACACCTGGCTAGTGACACCTACCTTTGAGGAAGTCCTAAGTTGTCACAGATCATGGGGAGAGTTGCTGTTGCCAGTTGAAAGAGCAGCGGTGGCTTGTTTTGCACTCTCGGTTTTAGGTGTATGCTTGCAGTTGAACCAGCACTGTGCCCTTTGACATGCTGTGTTACAGTGGGAACAGCCCGTAGTACAGCTGTTTCTACCTGCTCTTTGAAGGGTTGTGGTACATGGGGAGGAGGGAGTATTTGATAAATGAGGAAGAATCTTGGAACTTTCAAATTTGGGTGCACGTGTTTTCCTTGATAGGCATAATTTTTTTTCCTTTTTTTTCTTTTCTTTCTTTTTTTTTTTTTTTTCCGGTATTTTTTGAGACAGGGTCTTGCCCTGCAGTTCAGGCTGGCCTTGAGCTCACTTTGTACCCCAGGATGGTCTCAAACCCGCAATGATCCTGCCTCAGCCTCTCAAGTGCTGGGACCATGGGGGTGCACGCCTGGCTATATTTTTTAGAAAAGGTTTGTTGCAGTGAACTAGCAGCTGACTATTGTGAAGAATTTATTTCAGTTTGCTTACTTTCATTATTTTGGATTCGATAGAATTGAGAAATGATGACTGAGATTAAAGCGTTTTTTAGGATTTACTATAAGTTAGATGTTTGTATTTTATGTTCGAATCAAAAGGTTTTATAAAACAACTTCAATTAGAATTGATAGAGATTATGTGGGTTCTAGTCTTTTGGGGGCTCAGATCGCCAAAATTTTGTGCATTCTCACTTTGCTGAGAATGATTAAGGGCTAATGTTTTTTTAAACTGAAAATTATCATTATTTACCAAATTTTGGTATGTGGTCTTAAACCGTTCTCCAGGGTGGTTGGGTTCATAGTCTTAGCTCTTCGGGGCATGTACATCACTGGGAGAGTGCAGAGGTGCAAGGCCCTGCGTTCCTTCCCCAACACTAAACAGGGTGGACTTTTCATCACTCAGATCAAGAATATTTTTTTCTTTTTTTTTTTTAGAATTTTTTTTAATGTGGAAGAACTTTAGAGGTTTTAAGGCATAATATATATGAATAAAATATGCAGAATTCTAGAATCCATTTTTAAAAGTTAATTGTATGTATTTATGTAGCCATTGCCCAAATAATTTCTTTGTTTGTTTTTTTGTTTTTTGTTTTTTCTGGTACCAGGAATCGAACTCACGATGTCGCGCTTGCCAGGCAGATGCTGTGCCGCTGAGCTAAATCCCCAGACCCCCAAATAATTTTTTTTTAATGGATGGTGCTGGGGATGTATTGAACCCAGGGCCATCACAGAGCTGCATCTCTTAATTCCTTTATTATTAATTTTGAGACAAGTTCTCACTAAGTCACTGAATTGCCCAGGCTGGGCTAGAATTTGAGACCCTGCTACCTCGGCTTCTTCGAGTTGGTATTACACATGTGCCACCTCGTCCAGTTGCAGTTAGATGTTTCTTTGCAGGTCAGTTCCCTTGTAGTTCTTGGTGATCAGTTTCCTCTCAGGCAGCTACTTTCTGATTGCCATTGCCTTAAGTTTTCTCTTTGGTCTTCAATTGCCTGGGTGTTGTATCCCTGTCTTAATCTAAGAAAAAATACAAGAGTTCAGTTTTGTTAGGTGGTCAGAAATCCATTTGTGTAGAATTTTCACCCCCTTTTGTCTGAGAAAGCTGAATTAAAAATTTTTGGTGTCCATTATGCGTCAGGTAGTGTCTTATAGGTGTGTCTGAAAAGTTGGGTAAGATACAGTCTGCCTGTGTTCTTAGGAAATGTAGTATCAAGGGGCTGGGGATTTAGCTCAGCGGCACAGCGCCTGCCTGGCAAGCGCAAGGTCGTGAGTTTGGTTCCTGGTACCAGAAGAAAAACAGAAAACAGAAAAACAGGAAATGTAGTATTAAAACTAAAAATGCATTTAGAGCTAGATACGGTGGTGCATGCCTGTAATTCCAGCCCTGGAGAGGCTGAGGCAGGAAAATGGCTGTGAGTTTGAGGCCAGACTAGGTAACACAGGGAGAACCTGTCTGTGCTTAACCCCGCCGTTGCTATTTAGGAAAAAAACTTGCATTCTTTCATTTCAGTATGTTAGCATTTTAATTTTTTTAAAATATTTTTTGGTTTTTTGAGATGGTCTCGCTGTGTAGTTGAGGCTGGCTTTGAACTCACTGGGTAACCCAGGCTGGGCTTGAACTCACAGTGATTCTCCTGCCTCAGCCTTCCAAGTATTGGGATTACAGGTGTGCACCACCATGCCTGGCTCCTTTTTCTTTTTCTTGCCCCCCCCCCCCCCCCGCTGGTGGTATTGGGGGTGGAACCCAGGACCTTGATCATGTTAGACAAACGTTGTACTGAGGTATACATCCACCTTCCCTAGTCCTTTTTAAGCAAGGAAAATTTACATGGGAACTGAAATATGAAAAATGTGAAATTTGATTTACCTAAGGTAGTGGGAAATGTCAAAACATGGAAATGACAAGTCATATTATAGGTAACTACAAAGAATCTGTAATGCTGTTTTTAAATTCTGAAGAATCTGGAGCCAGGAAGAAAATCTGAAATTATATTTTACACCGAGAGCCTGGGTTGGTCTGTTTCAGGTTAGTCCTCTTCGTGTATTACTGTAGGATCCGGATGTTCTTACTGTTGCTCTCCGTTGCTGTGCCTGCAGGCAAGCCTTTCTCCTAGCGTGACAGGGAGTTCGTTCCCTGTTGTTGTAGGTGCTTGCTTTATAAGAAGCAGGCCTTGAACTGACCAGGATTTTGGTGAAACAGAGTAGATGGAGGGGCAAGGTCAGCGGCACAGTGCCTGCCTGGCAAGCGCAAGGTGCCGAGTTCGATTCTTGGTACCAAAACAATAATAGTAGATGGAACAGATAGGGAAGAAGAATTCAAAGCCAAACACAGCGTTAGGCATGTGAGCCTACCTTCTTGGAGGGCTGGGGCAGGAGGGTTGTCTGAGCAACACAGTGTAACCCCATCTGGAAAGAAAGGAAAAAATGCATAGATGAACTAGATTAAAGTAAACCTGTGTCTTCAGATTGCTTCTTCTCACATGATCCAAAATTTGTTTTGCCCATCTTGTTCAAGCAAACAGAACCAGGCATGGTGGTGTGTGCCTGTGATGACAGCACTCTGGGAGGCTGAGGCAGGAGGATCATGCAGGTGGGCAACTTGTGGAGATCCTATCTCAAATAGAAGTTAAAAGGGTTCGGGATATAGCTCAGTGTGAAGACGCTGTGTTCAAATCTGTAGTATCATCAAAAAAGAAACTACACAAAAAGTTGGACTATATCATGTAAGGATTTTTGTTTTTGGTACCAGGAATCGAACTCATGACCTCAGGCTTGCCAGGCAAGCGCTTTATGTCACTGAGCTACATCCCCAGCCCTATCATGTACGGATTTTTTTCAGGTTGGACATAACTTGATTTTTAATGTTTTTTCTTTTTTTCCAGGTTGAATTGACCAAAGCAATGGTTATGGAGAAGCCTAGTCCCCTGCTGGTCGGGCGGGAATTTGTGAGACAGTATTACACACTGCTGAACCAGGCCCCAGACATGCTGCATCGGTAAGACGTCTCTCGTCTGGTGCTGTCTCTGAGACTGTCCCACTCCTCATTGTAAGCCTTGTAGGATTGTTGCGTGACAGCCATGTTTTGAACCCAGAGCCTTCACACTGAGCTACACCGCCAACTCTTTTGTATTTTTTGAGACAGGATTTTGCTGAATTGCCTAGGCTAGACTCAAGCTTAGGATCCTCCTACCTAAGCCCTCTCAGAGTGTTGGGATTATAGGCATCTGTCACCATGCCTGTCACAAGAATTTTTTAAAATGATGTATTAGAAAAATTAGCTGGGCCTGGTGGTACACGCCTATAATCTGCTGAGGCAGGAGGATCTTTGCAAGTTTGAGGGCAGCCTGGGCTACGAAGTAAGCTCAAGGCCAGCCTGAACTGCATAGCGAGACCTCTCAAAAAGACAAAAAAAGAAAAGAAAAGAAAAATAGACTTTACTTGAACTTAAAAAGTAATATCTGAAAATGTGAAATGATATGTCTTAGTTACTTTTCTTGTTGCTGAGACAAAATACACAGCACCCAAAGTTAAAACGGGGTAAGGGTTATTTAGCCCACAGTTTGTAGAGGTTTAAGTCCATAATCAGCTGGCTTCAAGGCAGGGTGGCACATGGCTGAGGACAACAGTTCATGGAGGTGGAAGATGGCAAAGGCAACAAGGGAGAGCTAGACAAGCCTTTTACTTTTTTGGGTACTGGGAGTTCAACTCATGACCTCAAGCCTGCCAGGCAGATGCTGTGCCAGAGAGCTATGTCCTTGACCCCCAAACAAGCCTTTTTCTGTCTCTTATTGTATCCAGTCTACCGCGATAGAGGCAGTGACAGTCCAGTCAGTGGTCTGACCCAGCAGTCACTTACCCTTAATCCCAGAATTGCACAACGAATCACTCACATACTCTAGATTCAGCCACTCCGAAGGAAAAAACCCCATGAGGCTTTGGGGGAGCATCTAGACAGGAGGCATCACAGGATAATCATCCCATGTTTAGGAAGAATGTATTGGAAGCTGGCTGTGGTGGTGCTTGCCTGGAATTCTCTCACTTGTGAGGTTGCTGCAGCTCAGGTTGGAGATGAACCTCGCCTGCAGAGTGAGCTGCAGGCCAGTCTTGACTACGTAAGACCTTGTCCCCAACAAGAGAATAAAACTTGATTTGAGAGTGTTCTTTAATAACTTGTTTTTGTGTCATATGCTTTTAAAAATGGGAATATATTTTTAGTAGAAGCGATGTATGCGTGTTGTAAGTTAAAAGCACAGAGGTATAAAATTTGAGAAGGTAGCTGGGCATAGTGGTACACATCTGCAATCCCAACACTTGGGAGGCAGAGGCCGGAGGATTGTCATGAGTTAGAGGCCAGCCTGGGCTACATAGTGAGTCCCTGATTCAAAAAACAAAACCTCCAGAGACGACTTGTAAGGCCTGAGGGTATACCTCAGTGGTAGAATAATTACCATGCAAGAGACCCTGGGTTCAATTCTAGCACTGCAAAAAACACATTTTGGAAGTATCTGGTAATGCTACACTTAACAGTTTTTCTGTGTAGATACAATTATGTTTCAAAACACTGTCCTTTTTAAGATGACTTTACTTGATAATCTGAGGTCACTTTTCAAGGCAGCACATGTATCATGTTATTTTTGTGGCTAAAGAGGGATAGTATACTTTAATTTTCTTATGATGTGGGTTACCCCAGTACTTCTTTTATAGTGTTGCATTGTATAAAACTGCCTATGTGGATGTGTAGAAAAATATCATATTGTTACATAGTGCATATTTGCTAAACCAGAACTGTTTGTTTCTTTATACTTAGCATATTACATGATTATGAGGTATAAAAGAAAATTTATAAATTTATTTTCAGGGAGTTATTTCTGGTTTTGTGGGGACCAGGGATACAGCTCACCTATATATCTGCACATATATGTGCACCATAATTTTTTTTTTTCTGAAAACGGAAATAGTATTTTTTTTAAGCCTTGTTTCTGAAACACTTTACGTGTTTCTCTTTATCCTTTCCATTTCTTTTTCTTCCTTTCTGTCTATGTATACCGGGAATCGAACTCATGACCTTGAGCCTGCTAGACAGGTGCTATGCCACTGAGCTATATCCCCAGCCTATCCTTACTATTTTGTAAGGCATAATTGTAGGTACAAAAGCGTAAAGGACTTAAAATCTTTTGATACATGTCTTCTAAGGGGGTAGAATAAGCCTTTAAACTGTTTAAACTGTTCTTGTTTTTTTTGAGACAAGGTTTCCTTATATAGTTTAGACTGGCCTTGAACTCACAGGGTAGCACAGACTGGTCTCAAACATGTTGTGATCTTCCTGCCTCAGCCTCCTAAGTTCTGGGATGACAGGCGTGCGCCACTACGCCTGGCTTAAACTGTTCTTTATCCCTTTATTATTCTGCCTTCTTGTTGTGTTTTATTCTCTGTCCTTAGAAGTTATAAATTTGTAGCTTAAAAAAGAGGTCTTGAAAGAACCTAATTGTCCCTCAGACAAAGGATTACTAGTGAGAGCGTACAAAGAACTAAAAAAAAGTCAGACCAGATTTGAAGACCCAGTCCAAAAATGGGCATCTGAGATGAATACACACTTCCTAGATGATGAAATACAAACAGCAAATAAATGCAGGAAACAACGTCCAACATCACTGGTCATCCGAGAGATGCAATTAGAACAACACTGAGACTCCGTCACCCCAGATAGAATGGCCATTACCAAGAATCAACCAGTAACAGATGCTGGCGGGGCTGTGGGGAGAAAGGGCCCTCCTCCACGGCTGGTGGGAGTGCAGACTGGTGCAGCCACCGTGAAGATCAGTGTGGAGGTTCCTCAAAAGCTAGGATTGGAGGTTCCATTTGACCCAGCTATTCCCTGCTGGGTATCTTCCCAGAATTAAAGGCATTGTGTACTACCGTGATATGTGTGCACCTATGTTTATAGCAGCTCCATTTGTAATAATGAGATCTTGGAAACAACCTAAATGCCCATCAACCAAGGAGTGGATAAAAGTGATGTGGTCTTTTTATACAGTGGAGTACTAAGCTATACAGAAGGATAAACTTGAGATTTTTATAGGTAAATGGATGCAACTTGAGACCATACTCTTAAGTGAGATAAACCAGATGCACATGTGTAAACATCGTATTGTCTCTTTAGTGTGAGAAGCTGAAAGAGTAAATAAGATCCAAAATGTATAATAGGTATTGTAAAATGTGAAGAAACTTCAAAAGAAAAGATAAATGGGGATGGGGGACTGGAGAAAAGAATGAAGAAAAAGTAAAAAAAAAATATAATTATACTACTAATTTGTGTTAGTTCATTGAAAAGAACGGTTGGTGGGGACCAGGGTGCAGCTCGGCGGCACACGCGCCTGTGCCCAGCAAGTGCAAGGTCCTGAGTTTGATCCCAGCACCAGAAAAAAAGGGGTTGTGTTAGTATTGTGCGGACAGTTACATAGCAATATCTTGTACCTGAGTAATGTAATAACAGCATGCAATGCATTAACCATTGTTATCCACCTATTATTTTGAAATTTTTTTCCTCTGTAAAATAAAACAAGCTAATTGAATGCATTACTCTATTTCTTGTCAGTATTGTTATTCAAGAGTTATCCTCTTATCCCATATTTTTTTTCTTTTCTTTAAGATAGGGTCTCACTATGTAGTTCAGGCTGGCCTCAAACTCAGAGATCCTCCTGCCTCAGCCTCCCAAGTACTGGGATTGTAGACATGCTGCGCCATGTCCACTCCACATTTGTCTGTGATGTGTGTAGTGTCTTTTAGAGTGAAAAGTGATTTAGCTGGTAGTTAATGGATTCTCTGGTTGATGTACATCCTTCTAATAGTTTTATTTATTCATTCATTATTATTATTTTCATTGTAGTACTGGCCTTGTGCATGCTAGGCAACCACTCTGCCACTGAGCCACATGCCCAGCCTTAGTATTTTTATTTTTATTTTTATTTTTATTTTTATGATACAGAGCCTCACTATGCAGTTCAGGCTAGCCTTGAACTCACCGTGTTGCCCTGCATTGGCCTTGAACTCACAGTGACCCTCTTCCCTCAGCCTCCAAAGTGCTGGGATTACAGGTGTGCACCACCACGCCTGGCCTCTTTTAATAGTTTTAGAAATAAGGCAATAGGGTAAGGAAGATGGAATCAGGATATAAAATAACATATGTACATGTTTATTAAGAAAAGTTTATTATGCCAGGTGTGGTGGTGCACGCCACTGACTCCAGTATTTCAGGCTGAGGCAAGAGGTTTGCCACAAGTGTTGTTTTATTCTTTGTGGTTTTTTTTTTTTTTTTTGGTCTTTTTGAGGCAGGGTCTCGCTATGCAGTTCAGGCTGGCCTTGAGTTCATTTTGTAGCCCAGGCTGATCTGGAACTCACAACAATCCTCCTGCCTCAGCCTCCTGAGTGCTGGGATTATAGGTGTGCGCCACCAGGCCTTGGCTGCCACAAGTTTGAGACCAGCCTGGGCTATATAGAGACCGTGTCTCAAAAAGAAGAAATGTTTGTATCTGGAAAACAGATAAACACTAATGGCAGTTATTCCTAAATGCACATTTTGTTGCATGTAGTTTATCTGATGGAATATTGTTTTAATTTGAGGATATAGATGAATTAGAACTACAGGGATTAAAGTCTGAAGTTTTCTTTCTTTTTTTTGAGACAGGGTCTCACTATGCAGTTCAGGTTGGCCTTCGAGCTCACTTAGTTAGCCCCGGCTGGTCTCGAACTCACAAGGATCCTCCTGCGTCAGCCTCCCGAGTGCTGGGATTACAGGCGTGTGCCACCATGCCCGTTGCGAAATTCCTACTGTAAAAAACGTTAAAAACTCCTGAAGTTGCCTGGATGAGTTAACGCGTGCTGAATGGGAACAGCTCGCTTGTTCTGGGGTATCAGAGGACTGCAGGGAGATGGGGTGTGTAGTAGCTGCCCCCCCCGGCCTGCCTGTCTTTTTCCTTAGTTGGAACGTGAAGTATAGTTTTAAGTGACTGACTTTCCTAATGTAAACTCCAAGATTCTTCCCAAGATGATCTTGCCCTGAAACCTGGAACTTGTGACTTAAAAAGTAAGTGTTCTGCCTCGTGGAGGAGAGCCATCCCTACTCAGCAGAGTCTGGATGCACGGCTGCATGTAAAAGAGGAGACGTGTCTTCCTGTCTTCAAGTCTGCCAGGGAGGTCGACTTGTACCAGACTTGTCTTACGGAGCTTGAAGATGACAAGTAATTATCTTCCTATTACAGGTTTTACGGAAAGAACTCTTCCTATGTCCACGGCGGATTGGATTCAAACGGAAAACCTGCAGATGCAGTCTACGGACAGAAGGTACGCGTAGCAACTTTGTGTAGGCCTTTAAGCCATGAGAAAGTAACCCGTAACACTGCAGTGAATCCGTGCATCATACTTAGTAGTTAATTACTGCTTGGTTCATATGATACTTTCTTTGAATGCTTGTGATGTCACACTTGTTGATTTTGTGTGGTACGTTCTGAAGGTTTTGTATTAGAAGATAATTGGTCTTAGCATGCAGTCATCTTTTGTAAGCTTTTTCACAGTGCTGATTCAGGGCAGTTACCTAAAAGGGTTTAAGAGAGGTCACTAGGCGTAGAGTATACAAAGACAAAATGGAGCCCTGGCATGGTGGTGCACACCTGTAATCCCAGCACCGGGGAGGCTGAGGCAGGAGAACAGTTGCGAGTTTGAGGCCAGCCTGGGCTACTAAGTGAGCTCAAGGCCAGCCTGAACTGCATAGTGAGACCCTGTTTCAAAAAGAAAACAAAACCAAAGACAAAACAGAGACTGCCTGTGTTGTACTTCTTTTGTTTTGCTTTGTTTTGGTTTTTTGAGACAGGGTTTTGTCATGTAGTTAAGGATAGCCTTGAACTCACTGTGTAGCCCTGGCTGGCCTCAGACTCTCAGCGATCCTCCTGCCTTAGCCTCCTGAACGTTGGGATTACAGAAGTGCACCATCGTGCCCAGCCCCGTATTGTACTTTAAGTATATTATCTGTATGTGTTGGGTTTTGTTTAGGTTGTGTAAACTTTTATTAGTATGTTTGCAGTACATAATGGTTATATTCCTCATGGGCATTTGGTACAGGTGTAGGTTATATAAATTTTAAGAAATTAAGTCTTTGATTCCCTAGGAAATTCATAGGAAAGTGATGTCACAGAACTTCACCAACTGCCACACCAAGATCCGTCACGTGGATGCGCATGCTACCCTGAACGACGGTGTGGTGGTCCAGGTGATGGGACTGCTGTCTAACAACAACCAGGCTCTGCGGAGGTTCATGCAGACGTTTGTCCTCGCTCCTGAGGTAGGTGCTGTAGTCACTGTTCACGCTGTAGTAGTGAAATACAGTAAGAAGGTGTGTGTTTTTAAACAAATCTTCCTTTGAAATTTCAGTCTTACGGGTTGCAAGAGCAGTGTAGTGACTCCCGTACCTTCTCTAGTGCTCCTGTCGGCTCCTGCCCGCGTCTGTGATTGCTCGTCTTTCTCATGGTTTTCCTAATAAACCATCTGTCAGGGAGTGGCACGATGTGTCTCGTCCCGCTCAGACACTTGGTGGGCCTGTCCTGAGAGCAAGGAGTACTCTCCTAGAGCCCAGTGGCCACATTCGGGAAGTGACTGGAGGAGTGTAGCTACCTCACCCAGTTTAAGTTTCAGCAGGTATGCCAGTGTTGTTTTTTACAGTATGTTTTAACCAGGTCTGAGAGTCAGTACACAGTTACAGGGATGGGATGTAGCTCGGTGGTGGAACACTTGCCTGCGTTCTTTACCAGCAGCACAAAAAAAGAAAAACTACATTGCATTTAGCTGTGGTAGCACTCTCCTCTTTTCATAGGTAATGTTTCTTTAATCTTTTGTTTCTTGTGCTGTTGACAGTTTTGAAGAACAGTCACGTATGTATAGATATTTTTCAGTACCTCAAAGATGTATATGATGTCATTTAGTCCTGTTATCTTTGAGTACCTTGAGGTGAGATTTATCAGGTTTTACCACTGCAAAGTTAACTTTTTTCTTTCCTGTTGTGTTTTGTTTTTGTCTTTTTGAGACAGGGTCTTGCTATGCAGTTCCGGCTGGGCTTGAGCTCAATTTGTAGCCCAGGTTGGCCTTGAACTTGGAACGATCCTCCTGCCTCAGCCTCCCAAGTGCTGGGATTACAGGCATGCGCCACCACCCCCGGGCATATTTTTCCTTTTCTGATTTGTAAATTGTGGCAGACTGAGACTATACAATTGTTTTGATCTTCAAATTTTTTACACTAACTTTGGCATTAATTCATTCATAGCTGAAGTCATTTACTATTCTGATAATGACAAATGGAGCTTCTCTCACCCTATCCTTTGTATTTATTAGTTGGTGTTTCTTTCTCTTGTACCTTTTACCTTTCATGAGGCCTAAAACTTAAGTGCACAAATGATTAGTTTTAAAAATGGAATAAAAGCCAAGCGTGGTGGCATACGCTAGTAATTCCAGTACTCAGGAGGCTGAGGCAGGAGGATTGCCATGAGTTCTAGGGCACCCTGCATACACAGTGAGTTGAGAGTCATCCTGAACTACATTGCAAGACCCTGTCTCAAAAACCAAAGTAAAATAAAGTGAGTTGTAAGCCATTACTACCTTCATATTGTGTCTGAGGTGTGACACATCTAGGCAGTGTAAACCCCTCAAGCTGCCTTTTCTTTCTTTTTTCCTTTGCACTACTGAGACTTGAACCCAGGGTGTTCTGCCACTGAGCTACATCCCAGCCCCTCCCACCCTTTTTGGGTCTTGGAAGAATACTTTTTTTTTTTTTTTTTTGGTACTGAGAATCGAACTTAGGACCTTGTGCTTGCCAGGCTGACGCTTATGTCACTGAGCTATATCCCTGGCCTGGAAGAACACTTCGAAACTGTGGCACAGGGTGTTCCAGGCTCACCTTGGACTTTGCCCGCTTCAGCCCCAGATTCTGGAATCAGCTGTTTCTACAAGGAGCTTTCTTTTCCTTTGCAGTCAGGATTACCATGAAAGGGCCCCAGATTTTATGCTGAATAGTTGGGTCGGTACCTTTGCCCAGAGTGGTTCAGACTGAACAAGATCACTTTTCTTTAAAGTAAAAAATCTAACTTTGCCTGAGTATGCATTATTATATAAACTGTTAATGCATGTAAGCAGTGGGGTATATATGTCGATCAGTAACCTGTTTGTGGAGGAGCAGATGGTCTTAGACGTTAACAGTAAATAACATTGTCCAATATGAACTGGAGCGTGTCTTTTAACCGAGTGCGAGCACGCTTTTCCAGCTGCGCCACCCTCGAGTGCTGGAATCAAAAGTGGACACAGATGTAGAGAATTCTAAGTACCTCCTGGAGTTAGGGGTATGACTGCTGCTTAGCAATTTGAGGAGTTGATTTTGGAATCTTCATAGAGTTCTACCAGCTTTTAGCTTTCTATCTGATGGTGTAAATAAATGTTTCAAGCAAACAAAATACATTTGAGTATAATTTTGTTTTTACGTGTGTAGTGTAAAACAGGACTTTTAAGTCTTAGATTGCTGACATTTTGGGCTAGTTCTTCTAGGTGGGTGTCATATATGTTACAGGATGTTTAGTTTTACTCTTGCTGCCTATCTGATAGCTGTGGATAGTAGCAGTCCTATGTTATGAAAGTGGAAATGTCTCCAGACAGTGCCGGGTATTTGCTGAGTGAGGACCCGGTCTCTCACAGATGAAGACCATTTGTATAGCATGATTTGGCTTATTTTGTTTTTTAATTTATTAGTACATGTCGTACATAATGATGACCATCATTGTGGAGGGTCATACATGTACGTGATACCTCTGAGGTCTTTTTTCTTCTTCTTTTTTTTTTTTTTTTTGGTTTTTCTCCGGTACCGGGAACCGAACTCATGACCTTGCGCTTGCCAGGCAGGCGCTTTGCCGCTGAGCTAAATCCCCAGCCCCGCCTCTGAGTTCTTTTTATGTCACCTGAGATTCGGTTTTTTAAAAGCCTGTTGAATAATGACAACTTCTTGTTGGCTTTGCAGGGCTCTGTTGCAAATAAATTCTATGTTCATAACGATATCTTCAGATACCAAGATGAGGTCTTTGGCGGCTTTGTCACTGAGCCCCAGGAGGGTGAGTAGGGAACTGCTGTCACTTACTTGTCTACATGTGTAAAATGGAGTCGGACTGACCTTAATAGAATACGGATTTCTTGAATGTTTCCATTGTACTCTCTTCTCATTGATAATTCGTATCTCAGGACATGAGGGAGCTATGGTTTTACTCTTTTGACACTGACAGTAGTTTACGTTCTGGATGTTTGGAGAAGACATTAAATTCAAGCGCACGGGTTATTACTGACAGCACCATGAAGAAGTCAGTGAGTTGTGTTAAAGGTGCAGAACCCCTAGTTTAGGGAACCCAAGTCTGTCTTGTTTTTTCTTTTCTCATCTCCCCTCTTCTCCCTCTCTCTCTCCCTTCCTCCCTCCCTCCCTGCCTCCCTCCCTCCCTCCCTCCCTCCTTTCCTTCCTTCCTTCCTTCCTAGTAGTGACAGAGTTTATTTGAAAAGTAAAAGTGAAGAGTTAGGCAGAAACTGGCTTTGCAGAGTGAGCTTGGGCTGAGTAAAAAAGGAAAATAGGATGACGGTACACCCGGACGACAGACACAGGGTGGGCTATTGTGAGGAAAGCCAGGTAGCCCAAAATCCTTTACAAAACAGAGTAAAATGCTTCCCCTTGGCTCTGGGAGGAAATGCTTTTTCTAAAGTTGCCATACAGTTGAAGACAGGGTAGGAATGGACTATGTGTAGCAAAAGACCTGTAGAGAATCGTCTCGAATAGTATATGAACATTTGCTATATGACAGAGACTGTTTTAAGTGCTTTATATTTGTTGTGCAAGACACAGTCTTACGTAAGTACTTGACCTACTGTTTGTATGCCACGGAGACGCAGTCTTTGGCAGAAGGTCAATGGCTAGTAGTGTGGAAGAGCCTCATTAGATTACTGGAAATACGACCCGAGATTCATGTTCTGAACCAAAACACTCATTGATACAATTCTGTGCTGAAAGTCTAAGCTGTGATTTTATTGAATTGACTTGTTCTCTTTTATGTGTGTATTTATTTCATTGTTCTTTGACCATGGTAGACATTATTGTATCAACTGATTTTTTTTTTTTTTTTTGTACTGGGAATCAAACTCAGGACCTTGCCCTTGCCAGGCAGACACTTATGCCACTGAGCTATATCCGTGGCCCCATAGTAGACATTGTAAAAGAATGAGTATGTGAATTCACTAAGCATCAATTATTTTATTTAATTTTAATTTAATTTAATTTAATTTCTTTGGTGTTTTTGAGACAAGGTCTCTCTGTGCAGTTCAGGCTGGCCTTGAGCTCATTCTGTAGCCCAGGTTGGCCTCGAACTTGCAGTGATCCTCCTGCCTCAGCCTCCTCAATGCTGGGATTGCAGGAATGTGCCACCATGCCCAGCAACAGAAATTATAATTATTAAATGTATTTTCCTTGTTTAGAATCTGAAGAAGAAGTAGAGGAGCCTGAAGAAAGACAGCAGACACCTGAGGTTGTACCTGATGATTCTGGAACGTTCTATGATCAAACTGTCAGGTAGAGAAAATTATGTTCGCATCTCTAGGGATGCACAACAAATTGCACTGTCTCGTTTTTCCAGAAGAAAAGTTTTGCTTTTGTTATCACTGACTTAAAATGTGTAACTTGTTAATTGGTAATTGAATGTGCTATGAAGACTTTAAATGGTATCTTATCATTTGCTTTTTGGTTTTGTTTTTTTTCCCTGATTGTAAATGAAAAATTTGAGATTTTTTTCTTTTTTTGGTGTTTTTTGAGACAGGGTCTCACTGTGCAGTTCAGATTGGCCTTGAGCTCACTTTGTAGCCCAGGCTGGACTCGAACTCAGCGATCCTCCTTCCTCAGCCTCCCAGAGATTTCTTTTTAAATTACTTTTAATTTTTTTTGAATGAGTTTTTTTTTTGTCTTTTTGAGATAGGGTCTCACTATGCAGTTCAGGCTGGCCTTGAGCTCACTTTGTGGCCCAGGCTGGTCTTGAACTCGCAGTGATCCTCCTGCCTCAGCCTCCAGAGTGCTGGGATTACAGGCATGTGCCACCACAGTTGGCGTTGAATGAGATTTCTTATCAAGAGTTTAATATATCCAACATTGCTCATGGTTTATGTGGAAGTTTAACAGCTATCCTCAGTCATAACTAGTATCTTTTTTTCCCCCCAAATTCCTGTGTTTTTATAAGTTTTTTTCATGTGGAAAAAGCCATATATCTAAAAATATACTATCCTAACTTCTGTTTTAGGGGATGGGGAGGGACAGGGTCTTGTTGTGTAGTTCAGGCTGGCTTTGAACTCACTATGTAGTTGTCCTGGCTGGCCTAGAGCTTGTGGTTGTCCTTTACCTTCGCCTTGCAAGTGGTGGAACTGCAGGTGTGTGTGTCGCTATGCCCAGCCTGTCCTAATTTTTAAGTGTGTAGTATTACAATGTTATTATGTGCACATTGATTTAAAAAACTATTGCTGTAAAAAGCAGTAACTTCCTTTCCCTATTCCCCCTTCTCCAAACCAGTTAGATATGAGTTTATGATGTATGATAAGTAAGTTCTAATAGTTTCAGAATTCCAACTGAGTGAGAAGCAGTTGTTGGTTCATTTTGATGTATTTGGATATATTTGCTTATAGAATTTAGCAAATAAACTTTTTTCATTGAATATTTATTCATTGAATGCTTTTATAAAAGTTGCTTCTTTTTTTTTTTTTTTTTTTTGGATTTTCTCCGGTACCAGGAACCGAACTCACGACCTTGCGCTTGCCAGGCAGGCGCTTTGCCGCTGAGCTAAATCCCCAGCCAAAAGTTGCTTCTTTTAAACTCATACATATACACATTTCTTGGGTCTTCTCTAGGAGGAGGGAGATACTTTTCTTTCTTTGCTGGGGTCCAACCCGGTGCCTTGCGCACGCTGACCATGCAGTCTACCACTGAACTGTATTCCCAGCCCCAGTAGCTATTTTTCTGTAGTTAATTATTGGAATAGTTGTGCTAAATCAAGGGAGGCAGACTGATAGTTTTCAAATTTTCCTGTAAAAGCAATGACCTGGAAGAACATTTAGAGGAACCTGTTGCTGAACCAGAGCCTGATCCTGAACCAGAACCAGAGCAAGAACCTGCATCTGAAATCCAGGAGGAAAAGTCTGAGCCTGTTTTAGAAGAAGTTGCTCCTGAGGATGCTCAGAAGAGTTCTTCTCCAGCACCTACAGATATAGCTCAGACAGTACAGGAGGACTTGAGGGTATGGAACATGTCTTCATTTTTATTATAATTCTAGTTTTTTTACAAATATTTTTTTTCTCCTGTATAAATACTTGGTTATTTTTTTTTTTTGAGACAGGGTCTCCTTGCACAGTTCAGTCAGGTGGGCCTTGAGCTCACTTTGTGGCCCCAGCTGGTCTCAAACTCAGTGATCTTCCTGCCTCAGCCTCCTGAGTGCTGGGATTACAGGCATGTACCACCACACCTGGCTTGGTTGACTTCCGTAGATGGTTTTCATGTTGGTTGTTCAGGGACATTTCTTAAATACTGGGCCATGTCTCAGATAAGAGGTGTGATGCATATTGCTTTGTAACTTCAGAGGTAACCACTGTGTTCCCCTCCCTCCCAGGTAACCCGAGCAGCTTCTTAGGCCTGAAATTACAGGTGCCATTTTTATCACCATACCAGTAATCCCCTAGTCTTTTGGAGAGTTCGTCCATTAAATTATAAAGTATTACTTGCTTATAATAATACAAGTGCATGGCTGTCTTGATTACTTTTCTCTCGTTGCTGAGACAGACTACCTGGTGCCCAGAACTGAGGAAGGAAGGGTTATTTAGCTTGCAGTTTGTGAAGGTTTCAGTCTATAATCAGCTGGCTCCAAGGAAAGGTGGCAGGACATAGGGGCAACAGTTCGTGGCACCCAGAAAGCAGCAAAGGTAACAAGAGCAAAAAGGGAGAAGGGGTAGCAAGCAGCCCCTTTCCCTCCCGTACATTGTATGCAAATTATCCGCCGTAGGGCTGGTGTAGCACTCACCCATAATTCCATTATTGGACCACGGATCAATCATAAACTCTAGAAGCCCACACCCATGACGGCATGACTTGAGGGGACATCCAGATACAACCATAGCAATGGCATAGCTTTTTTAGGGTTATAATATGATGGAATTTAATTGATAATGTCTTTAATATAGAAATAGAAAAAAACTTCTGTTTGCAAAAGTTAGAGGCTTTTCAGTTAGTCATGAGTACCATTAGGATCTTTTGTTAACACAGAATTTTTACCTTTGGTGATCTGGGAAGGGATATTTTTAGTACTATATTTATGGGGTAAGTATTTTTATGATGTCACTTGTTTAATAATTTATTCAAGGACTGGGGATATAGCTCAGTGGCATAAGCGCCTGCCTGGTGAGCACAAGGTCCTGAGTTTGATTCCCGGTAACAAAAACAAAAACAAAAAACAAAAAAACCAATTTATTCAAGTGCCTGCGTTGTGGTAGGCATTGTTACAGATAGGAGAATGTTATTGGTAAAACAAGTAGAGTTCTTGCTCTCTGGGCATCACACAGGTTAAGAAAAAAACACAGATGATTTTAGCTTGTAGATGCTGCAGTGAAGATTGATGATCAGTTAGGTAGCTGTGATAATAGTCCAGGTAGGAGATAATGATGCCTCGGATTACAGTCTCAGCAGTGGAAATGAGATATTTAGAGCAAAATAACGGGTTTATTTTGTTGTTTGTTTTTTGAGATGGGGTCTTGCTAGTAAGCTGCCCAGGCTGACCTAAAACTTGAGATTCTCCTGCCTCAGCCTCCCAGAGTGTTGGAATTACAAGTGTGTGCTACTGCTTCCAGCAGAGACAATTTTTAAACAGATTAGAAAGATGCATAAGATGATCTTACAGTTGAATGATGCTTTATACAACAGATTGGGTAAATTAGGGAGGGAAGAGCTGAGCAGGTTTTTGGAGAGAGCGTTTTATTTGATGCACAGATTTGAAATTGACTGAAAGTTACTTATTTGACCCCTAAGCTTTATATTTGGCTCATCCTTGATCGGCCATCACAGGAAATTTTCACATTCAATTTGTGTGCAGGTGAAAGAAAATCTCAGTATATTTTTAACCACCATCCTGCCTACGAGAATGTGATTTTTGTTTTTAAACAGGAAGTTGAGTTAATGTCTTGATATGTATTGCCACCATGTAATGTTTGTTACTCCCTTAGACATTTTCTTGGGCATCTGTGACCAGTAAGAATCTTCCTCCTAGTGGAGCTGTTCCTGTTACTGGGATACCTCCTCATGTTGTGAAAGTACCGGCATCACAGGTAAGTTTCTAATCAAACTGCTGCTTGAGGCAGATCACTTGTATTTGGGTTTTCTGGTTTTGTTTTTTGTTTTTTGTTTTTTTCTGTGGTAGCGGGGACCGAACTCATGACCTTGCGCTTGCCAGACAGGTGCTTATGCCACTGAGCTAAATCCCCAGCCCCAGATCACTTGTATTTGATAGTGTGGTTTCAACCAGGGTTTAAATAAAGAATGGGAACCTGTATATAGAGCAGAAGAAAAGGGTACAAGGTGTTTAACTTATGTGGGGATTATCATTCTTTAGGTTAAGTCTTACTTTTTTTTTTTTTTCTGGTAACGGGAATCGAACTCACTACCTTGCGCTTGCCAGGCAGGCGCTGTGCCACTGAGCTAAATCCCCAGCCCCAGCCTTACCTTTTAAAAGACTTCATAAGAAAAAAAAGATCGGGGGCTGGGGATTTAGCTCAACGGCACAGCGCCTGCCTGGCAAGTGCAAGGTCGTGAGTTCGATTCCTGGTACCAAAAAAAAAAACCTGGGGAAAAAAAAAGCATGTATTGTCTTTTTACACAACAATTAACTTAAACATTTTTTAGCCCCGTCCAGAGTCTAAACCTGAATCTCAGATTCCACCGCAGAGGCCTCAGAGGGATCAAAGAGTGAGAGAACAACGAATCAATATTCCTCCCCAGAGGGGACCCAGACCAAGTAAGAGCTCCCCTGGGTGATTTCTGTAGTTCAGGTGATTCTGAAGTGATGGCTTATTTTGGGGTGGCCAGTTGATACTGGTGCACACTTTTCTTGTAGAGCTAATGGAATTTAGGGCAGAGAGAAAACTATTGTATATGAATAGTCCCTGAACAAAGATAACTTACTTTTTCATTGCTGTTTTTGTTCCTCCTTAAGTCCGTGAGGCTGGGGAGCAAGGTGATGTTGAACCCCGGAGAATTGTGAGACATCCTGACAGCCACCAGCTCTTCATTGGTAACCTGCCTCATGAGGTGGACAAATCAGAACTTAAAGATTTCTTTCAAAGTAGGTTGCTAAGTTTCAAACACAGTTTATCTACTTACTGTTCAATAGAAATCGAAGATGAGCAGCATATGTAATTTTAAGTCTTCCCAGGATTTATGTTAAAATACAGAGAAACTGCAGCATTTAATGACATTTTGTTTAACCCATTGTATTAAAGCAGTATCATTTGAATGAGTAAAAGTAGTCATACTGTACTTTGGTGCTCCACTGCTTCAGATCTCAGCAGATTTGGTACTGGATACATTTGATTCAGAAATTTTGTCCTGGCACTTGGCATTTGTTTGGTACCGACCTGCAAACTAGAACTTGATGGTGTTGATTGACCTGTGACTCACTACCTTTTCTAGCCAAAACTGTTCGTTTGATATTCTTCATTGTTGGTGCCTATTGTGTCTTCTGGAACCAGTTACTGAAGAGGACCATGGTATCCCTGTGTTAGGAAGTGCAGGTTAAGCTTCCTTCTGCCAGAATCTAAATGCTCCAGCATCTGAAGCATTCTGAGCGTTAGTGTGCTGCAAGTGGGAATCTCCACACTTGACCTCATGTCACGAGTCACAGTCAGAATGCACACGTCTCGCATACCTTACACAGACAATTGAATTCCTTCAGGCTGTCTGCATGAGGTGTGTATGAAACAAATAAATATCATGTTTAGATTTGGATCTCATCCGGAAGGCGTCTCAGTATGTACATGTGTAAAGGTTCCAAAATACAAAAGTAATCCAAAATCTGAAAACCGTTCTGATTGCAAACGTTTTCAGTAGTCATAATTCAGCCTGTATTTCGCATTTGATTGAAAACACAGTCTTTGAGCTCTTGTATATTTTACTCATGCTGCATCTCATTTTGAACTAGCTTACAGTTAAGGGCTCAGCCACGTGGAGCTGGTGGCTGCCTTACGGGACAGTGCATGCCTGATGCATGAAGGGAGATGCGCTGCTCCTTTACCTGAGAGTTGCTGTGGGTCTCGCTTGCAGGTTATGGGAATGTGGTGGAGCTGCGCATAAACAGCGGTGGGAAGTTACCCAACTTTGGCTTTGTCGTGTTTGATGATTCTGAGCCTGTGCAGAAGGTCCTTAGCAACAGGGTAAGCAGTTTTTTGTCTTTATTGGCCCCTTACCTGCCTCACTCCTAGTTCATGAGAACATTCTTACCACTGTGTCTTAGAGTTAAAATATAATTTATTCCAACATGTTTAGCCATTGGTATTAAAAACCTGCCTGGGAGTTGTACTTTTTGATCACTCCTTTGTACTTTCAGGAACTGGCTTTTCTACATTTCACTAGACTGGTAACGGTCTACTGTACTCCCTTCAGTAATATTTTTGTGAGTAGCTTACATAACACTGATGACCACGGTATGTGATATGCTGTCCCATAGCATAGAGGTTTTCAGTGCCCAGTCAGTAGGCCTTGCTTTGCGTTTCTCTTCTTCACTGCTGTTGTGAGCCGTGAAATAGGTACCTTAACCTCCTTGGCCCTTCCTTCACTTACAAGTCTTTAAGCTTTATTTACATTAGTGTAATAACCTACAGGCTTTGTTATGTATATATATTTTTATATAAATATATAGTGTATCATCTTTTCATACTATATGATGTTTTTCCGGAAGCCTCTAAATCTGTGAAGAAGTGGCATTTGTTATATACAACGAGAGATACTTAAACCATACGAATGCTGTGGTGGGTTTAAGCTGGGTGTTTCGAACTAGCCTTCATACCAAATCATATTTCCTGTTTTCTTAATGGGAAGAATACATTTTCTGAACTCAGAACAAGAACTGTGGGGACTTGGCTGATTTGTAAGCTGCTATTCCTGTAAGCACTCTGAGTAAGCGGTCACCTTGGTTCTTTCAGCCCATCATGTTCAGAGGTGAAGTCCGTCTGAATGTGGAAGAGAAGAAGACGCGCGCTGCCAGGGAAGGAGACCGTCGAGACAACCGCCTGCGCGGACCTGGAGGCCCCCGAGGTGGGCTGGGCGGTGGCATGAGAGGCCCTCCTCGCGGAGGAATGGTGCAGAAGCCCGGCTTTGGAGTGGGACGGGGGATTGCTCCAAGGCAGTGAATTGCTCTTCACCGGTCTCCACCAAGCAAAGAACCCCAGCTCCTGCAGAACGGTGAATTTCGCCAGCCATCCTTCGGTGTCTGGGAGTGTGACCCCAGTCTGTTATAAACTGCTTCAGTTTGTATAATTTTACTTTTTTGTGTTAATGGTGTGTGCTCCCTCCCTTTCTCCTCTTTCTCTTGGCCTTTCAGTCCTTTACTTCCAATTTTATGGAACGATATTTTAGGAGTAACAGATTTTTAAAGAAGAAAAAAAAGACTGCATTTCCTTGCTTACTTTGCATATACAGACTGGATTTTTTTTTTAAACAAACAGCCATTTCCCCAAAGGAATGTGTCACTTATTACTGACATTTGGTATGTTTCATTCATTGGAATATTTCTTACTTATTTTTTACGTGTTTCAAAAGCCTGTGAGAAGTACAGGATTTGATAAACATTTTGGAGGCAGGGAAAATCCAAATCGTTTCTTCTTTGAGAGTCATGACTATCTTCTGATGTTGAAAAATGGTCATACGGGAAATTTGAAAAACTCTATCCTCACTGATATGGTTAAAAACTGAATAAAAGGTGTTAATAGAACTTTTCTTTTGCTATTGATCACAAAGCAGTTCTAAAACCTGTTTTTACTATTGAAACTTAAATTGTAAGATAGATTTTGAATGTCTAGAATGCAATTGATAGGCTTTTCTTGAACTGTTAGATTTTTTTTGAAGTAGAATTTTTCATTTGTATTTGTTAAAAAAACAAAAAAGAAAAAAAATACTAACCCTTCAAATCCGAATAACAACCAGAGCAGAACTGTTGTGCCTTCTATTTATCTGAAATTCCACTCTTGGCAATTGTTTAAAGAAAAATAAATCTAGATTTGTTTTATTAGGTTCAGAGATACGAGGAATTGTAGACTCCCTCTTTCTTCACCTTATATGACTTCTGTTAACATTTGTTATGCCTTATTCTTCTAAATTGAGTCTCAAACTGGAATGCCTTTGAGGACAGACGTTTCTGTAGAGGTTCTTTGACCCAAATAGCTGAGCATTTGTATTAGGTTTTATTTTGGTATCTAATCAGATTCCTAATCATAGTCCATAAGAAAGAATGTGACTTAAACATTGGACTTAACTGATGTGTTCAAGTGTCTGCAGTTTTTTTTCTTTAAATCATAGCCATATGGTAAATTTCCTATTTTGTTATGGTTCTCTTTTATTGATGGGCATGCAGTGGGTGTTTCTTGGAAATGGCCAATTTTTATTAAAATATTTCTGGAAGAAAATTTAATCTGGCAATATAGACTAATAATACTCATTTTACAGTTATGTTATTTGTTGAGTGCTGTGTGTGAGGTGGGTGAAGGTTTTATTTACACCTGTGTGAAATAAACCTTTGTGTGGTAACTTGTCATTACTAATCTAAGGGTAACCAGGTTGGTCGAATTTAACTTACTTTCTTATTAACAGCGGTGAACTTTAGGACTGTCATTTGAGGATAGCATGTGCATAGAAATAGGAATGTTTTGTTTTGCTGTTAGTGAGAAACTGTAGGCTTGCTGTGAAAGGATTAGCTAAAACTAAAATGAAGTGTAACGTTACCAGTTTGGTCCCAGTACCTTAAATATACGAATATCGGTAGCATCTCCTTCACATAAAGAAAACTTAAGTAACTCAAGTCACCCGGCTGTGTTTTGGGTCAGTTTAAGTAACTTGTGATCATTTTATTTGGCCCAGGCCAGTGATAATTAGGAGGATTTCAGTTTGTATCTCTGTAGCTTATATTAAGCTTGTGGTAAAATGAAAAATGTTAGCCTGAGTTTGTGTGTGTGTACATTAGTGTTAACTATTAGTGATTAAACCCACGGCCTTTGCACTGAACTTTTTCCCCAGCCATTTTTATTTTTTTATTTTGAGGCAGGCTCTTGTAAGTGGCTAAGTTGCTTAGCCTGGGCTTGAACTTGATCCTCCTGCCTCAACTTCCCAGAGTGCTGGGATTTCAGATGGGTGCCACCACCATCACTACACTTGGCTGTGAGTTACTTTTCAAAAAAAGAACTTCAAGGTTGTAAATTATAGTTTAGAAGTTATTTTTCTTAATTAAATATTCAATTGATTCTTTTCCTCGGTTTATTTAAAAAGAAATTTACCCCACTGAGAGGTTTAAGGGCACTAACAAGGCGTGGTGTTACACCCCATCCTGGAGTACATTTGCAAGTTTGAGATTCAGAGGGGCTATGGGGTATGACACCACTTCTCACTTGCCCTGGCTGGGGACCAAGCATCCCGGATGTTGTGTACAAGCGAAGCAGCCCCGCCCCGCCTGGGACACTGTACTCCTCCTGTGGGTGAGCGGTAGGGTGGGATCAGGGAGCTGATTGAAGGAGGGCAGTCTTTTGTCCTGACATGGGCCTCAGATAATTAGGGAATGTGAATACCTCTTAGGAATTACTGTAACATTTGCTCTAAGAAGATCTCCCTTCCTGTTACTTGTACTGAATTGTGAGTGCGTGCCTTGGTGTGCATGTGTTTAAATGTGGAGCAGTGTGGCAGTCTGCTGGACGCTGCTGTAGCTTCATTGCAGGGAGTCGCTGCATCATCTCAGAAACACATTTCCTCAGTAACTCCAAGTCTTCAGATTTGGCTTGGTTGTGGGGTTTTGAATAATATTAGACTCGCAAGGTGGGGTTTAACTTTATGCTCAGTACTGGATCCTAGCACCCTTGTTTATGTGACCGCATGTAGGATAAGGACAAGAACTTAGGGAGGCATGCATCCGCACAGCTAGGAAGTGGATGTTGAGTGAGGGCGACATTTTCTGTAAGAACAGCAGATGATCACATTCACTGTTGCGGGTTTTTCAAGTGTAGACGCTCATCTGTAGCATGGTAGTAGTTCTTTGCTCCTGAGCTTCAGACCCTTGACCTATGAGTGTTTTAACTAGATCATCTTAGTTTGGTTCAGTATTTTGGTTCATCTTTTAAGATCTGTTGAAAATAAATAGATCTTAGCCTACCAAAAATATTTTTGCTTTCAATGTGAAGTTGACTCTGAGCTCTTGCTCTGGAGCAGTGAAAAGGATAATCCAAAATAATTACCCAGTTTAGGTTGAGTCAGTTACTGCCACAGCATTAGTTCAGCTGCACTTTATAAAACCATTCTCAAGCCTCCCGTGTGGATTGTATGATGTTACCACTAAAACAGCCGATGGGAGAAATGGCATCAGAACAGTTACATGACCAGGCCTCAGAGTCCTGCAGATAGCAAGGAAAAGGTTGTCCTTAAAATTGTTGCTTTTTCTTTACAAGTACAATGCCTATCTTTTTACAGTTAAGTGACATATTTAGTGAGCAGGGTATTCCTTTTTTTTTTTTTTTTTTTTCTTTTTTTCCCTAGCCGTGTGGCCCCAGACTCTTGCCTCAGCCAGGTGGAGCAGTGTGGCAGTCTGTCTGCTGCATGCTGCTGTAACCTAACTGCAGGAAGTCACTGCATCATCTCAGAAACACATTTCCTGGGATTACAAGTGTGTGCCACTGTGTCTGGCTTGAGTAGGATATCCTGTAACAAAGTTACTACTGTACGGAGACCTTAGTCTGGAAGATATTCAGAACAAATTTAGCATTGCTGGTCTTCATTTTCTTGAGAGCAAGTAAGATTATAGAATTTGTATTTTATTGTAGGTCTCCTTTTGATGTTTATAAAACCTATGTGATGGCAGTAGTTTCTTAAAATTGTTTTCTTAATCTGGTTTACATTAGTACACATTTGAAATTTGGATGTGGGTGATCACAGTATTTTATTATAACATAATTCAGGTGAGTTTAAAGTTACGTTTGACACTTAATAACTGCCTTCCCTGGTAATTTTCTGTACCAACTTTGTTTTTGGAAAACCCTTGTAGAAATTAGTGATTTAGTGGAAAAGGGTTGCACTTTATAGAAAGCAGTTAGAATAGAACCTCTGTGAAGTTTAGATTTGTAGACCATGGTTTATGCTGAGTGAATTAGTTCTTTAAATAGTTCCAGTTGTCATATCTACTGATCTGTTTCATTTTTGTGCTATTTAAAAGAATCTCTGCAGAACTGCGTGCAGGTGAGATAATTGTTGAGTTTTTAGTTCAGCATTTTTTAACCTTGTAAAGAAGGAATATCAATATTTATTTGAATATGGGGTTTTAGCTGACTGCCAAATGTACCAAAGGTAGGCAGTGGACAGAGAACCTTCCACAGTGTTCTAGAAATATTTAGGCAATGTCTGTGGGATTAGGGTAGGATAGAGCTGCTAGTCTACCAGTGGCCATGTGACATTAGATGACAACCAAGTTAAATAGTTCTGATTTTAAGAAGCTTTTGGCTTTCTTTAAAGATACCTTTGGGGTTTGTATTTGTTCACTGCGATGTTGGGAGTTTGGGGACCATTGGTGGACGTGTGGACTCTGGATGATAAGGAGGAGTGGCGGCACATGGAGGAGACAAACACTTCTGTTCATAAGCTTAGTGGATCTGTAGCTCAGGGTAATGTGAAATTTCATATACGTACTAGCCACAGAATATGCCCTGCACGAGTAAGCTTGACTGGAAGTCACCGACAGCCCCAACCCGTTCCAGTTTTGATACCCTTTTTGTGTATTGGCTTAGAGTCAAGGTTTATTTTTCAAGGTTAATTCGGCTTGTTTTGAAAACTTAGGCCAGTCTTTTTCCTCTCTACTTTGACTTGAACCTAGTAACTTTTTTTAGGTCGATGTAAGTGAGAGTAATACTGGGAAATAGTTCCACCTGAAACTCGTTATAAACTATATGATTTGGCCAGCTACAGAAATCTGTACACGTTTAGTACTTGGAAGTATGTCCCAGATTTTAAGGGATATGCTACCTGTGACTTAAGTTTTCCCCTCCTCTAATGTAAATTAAAAATGTTTGCCAAACATTCATCATTTACTTCGGTAATTTTCAAGAAGCTACCTATGGGGCATTTGCCTATATTTTTGGTAGTAATTAACAAAAAGGGGAGATTATATCCTCTTTAATATGGATAGAAATAATTTAAACTAATACTGTAATTAAAGCCACTTTGGTTACTGGTTCTCGCTAAGCTTTGATGTCTCCTGTTTGACTTTCGGATCTGTTTACATTTTAAAATTTTGTTATGAAGATTGTATATACACTGATTGTGTCCTTTTAAATGGAGACATTATACCAAGAAGCAAGCGTAAGGACATAGGGGAGAAGACATTTTTGTTCCCTTAACATTTGGTGCGCACTAACTTGAGTAGCTATGGAACATTTCAAAAATAAATTCATGTATAGATAGAAGTGACATTTTAAAAGATTGGGGGTGGAGGTAGAATTTAGCTGAGAGGAGTTTGTGATTTATATGGAAAAAAATGTATTTTGAGAAAAATCAGGATGTTTCCTTAAAGTTTTCCTTCCCTTTCTGATGATTACCTACCACAGTGGACAGCAGAGACTCCTGGAACTTTTCAGTCATAGATCACTAATGCTGGAAGGGATTAAGAGGTGGTTTGTTTAACCTTCGCTTTACAAGAGATATATTAATGGCTCCGAGTCCCAGATCTGCTTATAGAGGAAGTGTGGAGCAGGCGAGGTTCCCTATAGAAGGCTAGAGCTGCTAAAGATCAGGATGTGGGCAGAGAAAGGAAGGCACCACGTTTTTCGTGTTTATCCAGTCCGTTCTCGATTTCCATTTTCATACCCAAGTTTTCTCTGTTTCCTTCGGGCTGTCTTCATGCCCAGCCCGATCCGGGCTTGTTGTCTAAGGACATTGCCTTGTGCTCCCCTCAGGGATGGGCCTACTACTAGCTCTCAGAAGGCTATTGAGTATCCTGATGTTTTAGTAGCTGAAACTCAGCTGTAATTTTCTCCTGAATACTGCAGCGGTTTGTATTCTGTACATTGTGGTGCTTTTCCACCTTGTTATAACTGTAAGCTCCTAGGGGGCAGCAATTTGGTCTTAGATGTGTACCTTTTATAGTACCTGGCAGCGCCATGTATGTATCCAGGCCCTGATGTTCCTTTCCAGGTGTTTCTCTCGTTCTTCGTGGACACGATGCTCCAGCATGCTCAGCCGCTGGCGGTCCCTCAGTGAGGCTGCCCTTGCCGATCCCATGGATTCAAGTGCCTTCTCTCCCCTGAAGATATGCTTGTGTCTGCACCCTGCTTCCCAGTCTCTTCATCGGCCAAGTCAGTTTTTTAAAGATCGAGTTCAAGAGCTGTTTTCACCCTAAGAGATTTGCAACAGGAATAGGGAATCCCTCTGGGGGACTGATGTGTCCAGAATTTGAAATGAACACGTTCATTCTCATCTAATTCCGTCTTGTCCCTTCTGTTTGAGGTTCTGTCCTGACCTTCGTAATTTAAGCATTGTGTTCCTGGAGCACTTTACACCTTTCTCCTAGTTCCTAACTTACCCGTCAGCCTAGAGTTAGAATTCTGTGACCTGCTTAACTGCTTTGTTAGACTGTAAGTTCCCAGAGAAAGAGGGCTGGGGGTGGTGGGTTAATCCCTGTATTCTCCCAGAAGATGCAGTTAGACCTTAAGAGTCCCTAGTGATAGCTGAGTCGAATAATGTAACTTTGTTTTTATTTGTACATGGGAAGCATACCTGGAGAAGGTTTTGAATTCAATAAATTTTAGAGGCACTGTGACATCTCAGTGGAGGAAATCATGGGGAAATTTTGGGGAGTGGCCCCCAAGAGGATGAAGTGAAGTCCCTGGCTGTCCTTGGGTTCTTCCGTCCCCGGCCTGGGAAATGAGCCATTTCCTTGTGTTGCACCTGGCGTGTCCCAGGCACTTTGCGTTTATGCAGAGTGATTGTCCTCGTTTTCAGTCTTGCTGCTTCCACTGCTTCCCGTCCCCAGTGTCACCCAGGGTGTCACCCAGGCGGCAAGTGCAGTCGCCTGCCTCCCTTTTCGCTCCTGTCTGCACCCGGCGCCCAGCTGCATCTTGCCATTTACCTCAGCAGGCTTTCACCTCTTTTCCCTCTGTACGTAATTTGAATCCTTCTCGGCTTCGTAATACCTCTTCTTAGTCCAGCTCATTTTCTACACTTAGATTCATCTCACTGAAAATGCACCCCCGACCGTGTAGCCCACCTGTGTGTTCTATCCCGTATTAAGACTGTAAGCTCTTTATGGGCAGGATGTGTGTGTGTGTCATCTTTGTTATTCCCCGTAGCACCTGCCAATAAATACTTCTTGAATGAACAAGTGAATTCTCATTTCTCACATGAAAGCTTGTCTAAAATGAAACGTTTCTCAGGTTATATGCAGGTTTCTCTCTTACAGAAGGCTAGCAAAACAGTAAAGAGTTAACCACAGAAAATTTCAGAAAATTTTAATTTTTTCCATTGGAATTAGCATGGATATGGGGGTGTGGATGATTCAATAAATATACTTTTATATACATGTATCACACAAATTTTACATTCCATCTTGAAACGGCAGATTTTTTTTTTTTACAAGCCAAAAAATAACTGCCATAACTTTTATGACTTCATGCAACAAGGAGGAGTAAAAGGGCAAAGGGAATTTGTTCAAGGTTGGGTGTCCAGGAAGAAGTAAAAATGTTACATTAAGGAAGCGACTGATTGCTGATCGCTGCTTAAGGTGATAGCCAAACAAACCCTTAACTGCAGCATTAAGGCCATACCAAGTTTATACATATGTACAAAGATTTCCATATAAAAGACTTATCACTTCAGGGAAAGATGAGAGGAACTTCGTAATTCTAACCCAGTTTACCAGGCAAATTAATTGAGATGCCTCCAGGCTATGACTTTGAAACCTGTTCTTTGGCTAGCTGTCAAAGCTGCTGCTATGTTGGCTTGTGGCTTTTCTGGCCTCACATGGACGTATGAATCACCTTGAATCTCCTACGTTATGGATGACCGAGCACTTCACAGCACACGGCAACCGTATGATTGCATCTCCTCCCCACAGTCCTGGAAATCACAGAATTGTAACTCGCAGGGGTAGGTGTCTTGCCTGTAACACTTAGCTTCCATACACAATATCCTTGTGTGGGATTAAAATAAATTCAGTTGGAGAGAATACTAATAATGAACCAAAGTGTTAGGTTTCAGGAAGCATTGCCTAATTGAAACTTACTACTAATTTTTATCCCTTGTGTGTCTTCACATTTAAATTGGCCGCTACCCTTTTTTGGGAGAAAGGGGAGGGGATGTGCAGTTGGAGAAGAATCATCTGGGATTTACCTTCTGAAATGACAAACCAGAGGAATTTTAAGACAAAAGGGTAATTCTGTGCAGATACCAAAGTGGGTGAAGTGGGAAACACGGAGGGCAAGTCCTTTGGAGACGACTTCAGTCTCAGAAGTCACTGGCTTTGGCAAGGTTTGGGGAGGAGGGTGCACACGGGCAGAAGCTGGCTCCTCCGATCAGCGCGTGCCTCCTGAGTCAAAACGAAAAGCTCCTGAATCTAAGAAATTATGTAAATCCCCCAGCTGCTGACTTTGAGCAATTTTTTACATTGTTACAGCTTTCTTTGGAATGTCTTAGGTCAATGCGTTTAATTTGTGATTTGGAAGCACTGGTTTGAGTGTGTGCAAAATGAGCAGTCACGGCACTGCGTCTCGAGCCGTTCTTCCCTTCGAGTGACGAGTTATGTGCACTGCGTAATCGCACCCGTTCTGGTTATGGTAATTTTGCCACTGGCTCTGGGGTGATGCTGGTCAGACAGTGAGAATACCTTCGGGCAGTGCCAGGAGGCTTATAGTATTAAGAATTTTTGTCTTGGGTCACTTTGCAATTCACTGTGCCCATTTCAAGTTTGTAACAGCTGAAGATACCTATTTTGTCCAGTTTTTCACTTGGAGACCGCTGAGGTCCCTGCTATGTTTGGTTTTTGTAAGTAGAGGCTGTTAAACTTTTTTTTTTTTGTCTTTTTTTTGAGACAGGGTCTCGCTATGCAGTTCAGACTGGCCTTGAGCTCACTTTGTAGCCCAGGCTGGTCTCGAACTCACAACGATTGTCCTGCCTCAGCCTCCTGAGTGCTGGGATTACAGGTGAGGCTGTTAAACTTTAGAAGACTTTAGAGACCAGTGCTCTGTATTGTTTGTCTAATATGTACAAGAATCAACATGAAGTAGGCATTTTATCCAATATGCAAAGTAGCAGGATAGGCCCTTTGGAATTTGATTCACTCATCTCATTTCAACTTGCTAGTGTTGAAAATATTATACCGGCTTAAGTATTGAAAGATCGAAGCATTAAAAATAAAGCAGTATGAATGTAAAATGCTCTGAAATGCCTTGTGGGAACATCCACCTTTTTTGCTTTGCTATCATTCAGGCTAAACTGGTGTGCTGAGCGTGGTACACTTGGAATGAGGTAGAATATGTCTAAAGTGGAAAAGGTTGAGTTTACCAAACTGCTTACTTGATATGTAAGCGCCACTCTAAAAAGATATGTGGGCAATCTTTTGTTCACTAGGCAGGTAATATCTTTCCCCAAAATATTCTAATTTTGTTGAAGGAAGGTAACTTATGGAAGAAACTTCATTTTACCTATTTTCACAGGCATTGACTTGATAAAAGTCAGTTACACTGCTGCCTTTATTTTTTCTATTCATATATATGTATAAAAAAATAGAGATGCTGTGTAGGTTGGGAGAAGCAATTTTAGATTTTCCTTTAATTGAGGGTAAAAGGACATGCTAGACTACTTTTCTTACAGATCTGCTCTGTGTAATGTTTCAGATCCACAAAAGGTAATGTTTGGCCCACAAGCTCCCCTTTAAAATACCTTCATTGTACTAAGTATGGGCTTGCTGAGTAACAACACGAGGAATAGCTTTCAGAATTACGTAGAACAATGTGCTCAGGGTTCAGGACTTTACCGTAGCCTGCCCCCTTTCTAGTACCCACTTGGCACAGACTAGACCTATGTACTTGATGGGTTTAACTGATGCCCTCAAAGAAGTGAATTTCTAGTGGGTACCATGTAGACATAAGGGAAAAGGTAAGTTCTTCCAAAATTACTGCAGGAGAGTCTGAACTGCCAGAGGTGTCTTGCCCACTACACCCTGTGTTAGTTAGGAAAGGCCCCACAAGAAGACAGAATGAACTGCTCTGCCTTCTCTAGTCAAAGCACTGACCTTTTATTTTTCATTGAAGCATGTTGTGTTGAATTCCAAATCTTTCTTTGTAAACGTGCCTCCCGTGAGGATACTCACGATGCCTTGTATGTGCCGTTTATTATTTACCTCTATATCTTGTCATGCTGTCGTTTCTTCCTGGGATCCCCGGTCCTGCCCAGATGACCTTGCGGCATGCTGTTTTCTGCCCCCTCTGTGGCCCCTTCTTCCCTGTATAACTTCCTGCGTCCCATGTTAGTGGTTCATTGGTAGTTCTTTGTCCCCTTCTGTACTGTAGGAAGAAGAGCTGTATCTCTTCCGATTCCCTGCTTTCGTGGTATGGTGACTTATGAAGATTTAGTAGATAGCAGGAGGAAGGACGACAGGTATTAGGTGAAAAAAGCCCGAAAAATGGAAATGGTATGTTTTTATATTTCCTATGATTAAACATACCCTAATCCTGGCTGTGACGTGCCAAATTTTGGGAGTTCTCTGCAGCTGGTTTGGTTTTTTGTTTTTCTTTTTCCGGTACCAGGAATTGAACTCATGACCTTGCACTTGCCAGGCAGGCGCTGTGCCGCTGAGCTAAACCCCCAGCCCCTCTGCGGCTGTTTTATCACACATCGCAAGAGGTGGAGCTGCTTTCCTCCCTGAAACGTTTTGAAACAATCATTCAAAGTACCCTAACAGTTCCCTGAGACGCACTGAACAGAGCTGGAGCCACTAGAGTCCCGAGGCCGCTCTCCTGCCAGCATCTGGTGCTCACAGGTGCTTGCAGCCTCCGCAGCGGGAGCGCTCACGGCCCTGGTCACTCCTATCATTTTGGTCCATCCGGCCGGCCAAAGACCAAGTTTCTGGGTGCAGCTGAAGGAGGCCAAGTGGAAAACCAACAGCAGCAGAGGCCTGGTCGCATGAAATGGACAGCCAGCCTGTCATATCAGCTGACCTAGTGGACAGGTAATCCCAGCACAGGGCGGGGGGGTGGGGTGGGGAGGGGAGGAGCAGGAATGTCAGGGAGGATTTTGCTCACACATTGCTTTTGTGCGTCCATTTCTGCACTCCCCAGAGCTTGGATGACAGTAGAGCCTTTAGAGACCCCGCCTTCCCTGGACCACTGGTTAGGCCACCACTTTTGGAACTGTTTCAGTGGCACTGGGTATAAAAAGGCCTTATCACTTGAGCACCTGCTTGGGGGAGGTGGCTGGGAAACTGCCCACTAGGAGTTAAACTAACTCTTCAAGGGTGTGTGAGACCGCAGTTATATCCAGGGAGTCAACTACTCCCATGGGAAATAAATTTGTTTGAAATTTGAGCTTGAATGCTCCATTCTGCAAGAATCCTCGGTTGTCCCTGCGAGACAGGCTTGTTCCCTCTGAAGTCCATCTCTGCCTCCGCAGTTGTTTCCACCTGTCCCCGTCACATCTCACTTCACTCGGTCTCCAGTTCTGCGTTAGGGAAGAGTACTCAGCTTTCGGTCCTGTGACCTTGTAGTAGGTCTTTATCAAGTGAATGTAGAAAGGGATTCTAGACTTGGAGAAGAATTGTAGACAGGGTCTAGTCTCCGCCCTTGACTCCAGTCAACTCCAAGCCTTTCCAGCTATACAGTTATCTTTTCTTTTTCTGAGATAGGATCTTGCTGTGTAGCCAAGGCTGGCCTTGATCTTCTGGGGATCCTCCTGTCTCAGCCTCCCGAGTGCTGGGATTACGAGTATGTGCCAACGTGCCCGGCCTCCCTTAGAGTATTTTAAAATACAGTTTGGATTACAATTCTCTTTCTTGCGGTACTCCAGAGACCAGTGTTTTAGGACCCTCCAAGTGCCACCTAGTCCCACCTGCCTGGTTGCTTACTCCTTGGATTCTTCTGTTCCACAGTTCTATAGCCAAAAGTGGCCCTTATCAACTTCCAATCTTTTGTGCATCACAGACTGGGTTAGTAGGTTCTTAACCTTGTAAAGCGGGCTGAGAGATTTATGAAGTGGAGAGTAGGATCAGGGGCGATGTGGGAGTTAAACTTCCTAGTTTAAAGAGACTGCCGCACAAGAGTTACTCAGTACCAGCGTGACTGTGTGTTCAAGGCTTAGTCACAGTCCACCACCAGCCTCCCCGTAATG